TTCCAACAAATAGGAGGGACCAACGCCATTGCTTACTATGCTAGCTCCATATTTGAAGAAGCTGGTATGCTAATGCCTTTAAGTGTTGCTTCTAGTAATATTGGAACTATATTACCTAAAGCAACACTTTCAATACAAATTTAGTTATGAACATTCAAAGATATAAACAGACAATGATGTGAATCTCTGGTTTATGACAGGTTTTTCAAGTGATATTGGAACTATTTCAATAGCTATCATTCAGGTATTTGTATTTGAGTGATAGAAATTTGAGTAATTGCAAGTGTTCTGCTTCATGCATTTCTGAGGTTTGCAAATTTCTCTTTGCAGATTCCAGCTACTGCCGTGTCAGTACTCTTAGCAGATAAATGGGGAAGACGTCCACTGCTTTTGGTTAGACTGAAATTAATGGTTTGTGATGATATTTATTTATGAGATACAAATCAATATTCAAATTTCTGTATATTTTTCCAGGTTTCTGCTGCTGGAATGTGCTTGAGTGCCTTCCTTGTTGGATTAGCATTTCTCTTGCAAAACTCGTCTACTCCCATTTTGGTCTACATTGGCATACAGGTTATTCACTGCAATTGAATGGCAATTTACCTCTTGTCATGCATTATGGCTTCGTTTGAGAACACTTCTTGGTGCATTAGTTTTTGGTTTTTATGTTTTTTTTCCTATTTAAAAATATATAAAATGTTAGTTAAAATAAATACTAAATATATTAAATATATTTTATATATTTTTGAGATATTAAAAGACCAAAAAACCTATAACTGCAACTACAGTACAACATCCTAAACTAAGCCTTTATTTGTAGGATTCTGTTCCACGCACTCGTTTTTTTTTTTTTTTTAGTCTAAAAACAAATTTTGATCAAGCATTTCATGATTCTGAGCTTGGTTTATGGTGGCGTAAAGGTTTTTTTTATATATTTTTGAGATATTAAAAGACCAAAAAACCTAAAACTACAGCTACAGTACAACTCTCCCAAACCAAGCCTATATTTGTAGGATTCTGTTCCACGCACTCCTTTTTCTTTTTTTAAGTCTAAAAACAAATTTTGATCAAGCATTTTATGATTTTGAGCTTGGTTTATGTTGGTATAAAGGTGTTTTACATTTCATTTTCTTATATACAAATCCTTTAAATGATTTTGACAGCAGCAACTGTCACTGGCTTAGCAATGTAAAATTGATTTTCCACTTGTCACTTGAACCTTAAAAGGAACAAGAACTTAGTAGCTGATGATCTCCTTCCACCTCCCAGCCAACGCCCTTGGAAAAAGAACTGGGCCTTTTTCTCTTTATTTAATCCTCATAGGTTTTTCTGTTATGATTCAAAGCTACTGATTCATGCTGCAATATCTCAGGGTTTCGGTGCAGCTTATGGTGTAGGCTTGTCAGGCTTAATATGGGTTGTGATGTCAGAGGTTTGCAACTTTGCCCTTCCAAAGTCGTAGAGAATCACTATGAACTTGATGATTAACTATTCAACTTCCATTTCAGATATATCCGATCAACATCAAGGGTTCGGCTGGAAGCCTATCAACTTTAGTCAACTGGACAACGTCTTGGCTTGTGACATTCACCTTCAATTTTATGGCTGAATGGAGCGAAGGAGGTCTCTCTCCACTCAAAAGTTTAATAGGTATAATAGACAGTATTAATCTCAAAACATCACAACTGATTTGTTGTGTTTTCAGGTACATTTCTCATATACTCGGCCATGTGCTGTCTGGGTGTTGTATTCATTGCAAAGCTAGTTCCAGAGACTAGAAGGCGAACGTTAGAAGAAATACAAGCATCAATTGCCCATTTTTCGTAATAGGATGATGATACAGACGGGGTAACAGTGCAGATCTCTGCTATTTATAACCATTGTATCTCAGTACCAGTGTTTAGAAGATTTTATCACCACCATTTTCTGTATTCAAAATATCAAAACTATTGTTACCACCACGGTCCACCGCCTCAGTCCGGTCCAATTCTGACTCTTAACTCCTTTGTTTTCTTTACGGCACCGTTTAGCAGTACCAAAATAAAGGCCACGTTTGTTTGGTGGTCGGTGTTTGTGTCT